GGAATTGAAAGCACAATATCAGGCCTACCAGGGGATTTGATTGCAAGGCTAATGATCTTAACATCTGGTTCAAGACTTTCCGCATCTTCACAATGAATTGAACAAAACGTCAGAGGCACATAAACAAGAAAAAAAAATTGAACTGTTTCATTTTCTTCTTTTCTTTCTCTTTCTTGGTGGGTGAGTAAACAATGTTCTATCAGAAAACAACCATACACTCCTTGCCGGGTGAACCAAGAACAGAGCAGCCAGAGACTGAAATGACCGGTGAAAGGTTGCTAATTTATGAAGATTAACTTACTAAAATATGATCATCAAATACCAGTGATTCAAATTAGTAGGAATTTACAATGCATAACAACATCCAGTGAGCACACATTTCAGAGTGACAAACAGCATAATTAGCATAAAACTGAAGAGCAAGATACTGAAACTCGATAACAAACTCCCCAAAAGTTAACCTTCTATTGATCTATTAGCTTCCAGAAAGTGAATTCTGTTATACCCCTCTAATCCATGAACCTTCAATGTAATGGTTATCAATGAGCTTCCTAATGTGATCATCTGCTATTTCAGTACATACACTGGATTGGCAATTCTGATTCTTGGAAAGTTGAAAAAATAAAGGAGAAAACCAGGCCAAGAGTCAAGATCTTTCTAATTTCTACCCCCACCATTAGCCTATACATAATTCACATGAATTCTCAAATTGACCACTTGAAAGAAAAGGTAAAGAAGAGGAGAAAATAAAATGCAAACCTCCAACAGCATTGAGATCCACCGAGCCAAGAAGCTGTTCCTTCCACCTCCTCAAGCTCTCATCGTCCTGAAATCCTCATATTCCACCAGAAGGCAAAAGAAAATCACACAGACAACAATAATTAGAAGATAAGTGGTGATGGCAGACAAGAAAGAAACCAACTTGAACATAAACAAAAGACAAAAAGAAACCAACTTGAACACAAACAAAAGACAAAAAAACAAACCTTATCCTTCTCTAGTTGTTCTTTAAGCGTGAACTGAGGACCCAACTCAATCTTTCTCTCTTGGTCATCATCATCTTCATCCTCAGTTACACAACCAGAACTCCTTCTAGTGGAGTTTTCCTCCTCAGTTTTTGTCTCAGACGCTTCACTATCATCTCCACCCATGTTTTTGGAACTTGAATCGCCAAAGAAATCAACACCCCATCAACCCAAAAAGAGCAAATGCAAGAGAAAGAGACTCACCAATACAATGACTTACCACCAAAATTCCCCAAACCCCACAATTTGGAAGAACCCCTCTAAACGAAAACAAAAACTCCTCAGTTAAAAAAAATACACGATTATATCGGGTCAAAGACTCAGAAAGGTAAATAGAGAGCCAAATTTCTAGAAAACCCACAAAGGGAATTGGACAACAAACAAGAAAAAGAAAAAGAAAAAGAAAGAGAAAAGATGGGTCGTTTAGGAATAATTCAACAAACGCACAGGAGAAAAGGTCATGTGGTGATCCGAGTTTCTACATTATTAGCAAACACGAAAAGAGAGAAGGCTAGAAGGCTAAAGGTGCCCAGATCGTGAAGGTCGCTCCTTTACTGACTTCCAAGATTACCACCACGATTAGAGGAGGGTTTTATACAATTTACACGCAAGAGAGAAACAGGGCAGCCTTCTATTGGTGGGATATTGTTAAACATTTATATGCTTTGACCTCGTCTCTTGACTCTTTGCTTACTTAATGATTGGAAGACTGAAAAAAAAGGTAAAGATGCTTTAGAATTCAGATATCAATCTGTTTGCTTTTACCTCGGATAACAGCAATCACTACAGGGTTTGGTGTCTTCTTTCTAATAGTATCCTAAGTTGTACTTGATTTCTTTTTCTTTCTTTTTGTTTTAACAGTCAAGTGTTTCTTGTATAATTTTTTTTTAACCCGAACACTAATTCTCATTAAAGAATTTAAGAGCATATTTTTATATTAATTTAATATATTTAAAAAAATTAATTATTTTAAATATTGATTTTAAAAGTTAAATATTAAACTTAATTTATAAGATAATATTTATTTATTATTAAATCTAACTTTTTAAGGATACTGACTTCTAATTATACCGTTATAAGTCTTTTTTTTATATCATCTTTCAATATCTAACAATCACATTGAATTCGATTAATTTAAAATCAAATTACGTCAGATCACATAAAAAGAAAACTTTTTCAATGTCTATTATTTTATTTACAATACTCAAACTCAAATTTTTATTTAAAATCAATTGAATTTTTTTCATTCGATAGAACAAGTCATTGATATAGGTTTATAGTTTTTTTTTATATTTAAAAAT